GCTTGTCCATAAACTGTTAAACAGTGATCTATGTCCTGCCCGTCCACCAACAGTTAAACAGCGATCTATGTCCCACCTGTCCACAAAGCTATTAAACAGCGATCTATGTCCTGCCCATCCACTAATAGTTAAACAGTAATCTATGTCCCGCCTGTTCACTAACAGTTAAACAGTGATCTATGTCCTGCCTGTCCATAAACTGTTAAACAGCGATCTGTCCCGCCCGTCCACAAACTGTTAAACAGCAATCTATGTCCCGCCTGTCCATAAACAGTTAAACAATGATACATGTCCCGCCTGTCCATAAACAGTTAAACAATGATATATGTCCCACCCATCCACAAACTGTTAAAGAGCGATCTTTGTCCTGCCCATCCACAAACTCTTTTAAACAGTGATCTATGTCCCGCCTGTCCACAAACGGTTAAACAATTATCCATGTCCCACCTGTCCACAGTTAAACAGCGATCCATGGCCCGCTCGTCCACAAACAGTGAATCCTTTAAACATCAATCTATGTCAATGGTCCAGACAAGCAAAGACCTGGTTTTAAAGCTGACCTTGATTTGTGACCTTGACCTTGGAGCTGGGACACTCCATCTAATAAATTCAACAGTACAAAATAAAGGAGAAATAAGCAGTTCAGTAAAAAATAAGACTGAGTGATTTATTAATCTCATCAAGACCAATAATACAAAGCAGTTAAAGGCCGCACACCATGAAATAAACGACTGCTGGGTCGAGCTGTTAAGTGCCATCAAGAGGAGAACTGGTCTGGGATTCTGACGAGTCCACGTTCAAAGAAACTAAACCAAACAGAAAAACAACTTTTGGCTGGATTGACCCCACCAATACTGACACGGGAAACCTGGAGGTTATGAAAATAACCAGTGTTCCCTGAGGGAAGGGAACGAGGGAACACAGTGGTAGTTGCAGGTTGGTCTCGCGAGGGCGCGGTCCCCGGACTGTTGTACCGAGTGTACTGACCCAACGGGAACTGGGACTGGGCAGAATGTTACAAACACGGTGAAGTGTTCTGGCATCAAATGTTGAAGGAACGCCCCTTAAATCGTGGAAACAGTCCTCGTCTACCATCATCTGCTCCCTCAGAGCACGACGGGGGCGGGGAGAGACAAAAAGGACATTTACTAATGAAACCACTGGAGGACAGAAGAGCTCAGGGTGAGGTGCTGATCCACACAGTTGAACAGGGTCGCCGCATCTACAGATGTTTCTGCAACATCTGTGGCTCCTCAGTGAGGACAGCCTAAAGTGCACGAGGTGAGTCCCTCAGAAGAACGTCCAGTTCTTCACTCTGAACCTTTACACAAGCCCCCGCTTCGGAGAAAACATGGAGGGTCGCGGAAAACGTGGAAAAAGTGAGTTTATGGCGGCAGCACATCTCAGATGTTCCTGGAGGAGCCTCCTGGAGCCAATTAGTTTATTGATCAACAGGTCAGTCGGAGGAGCGGGATTAAAAACACCTCTAGAAGTAAAGATGGACAGAGGTTCACCAGATTACAATCATCAAGAGATTAGAAGAATCTGTAAAATCTCTGAGCTCAAAGGACGAGGCTGAAGGTCAACACTGGACGGTCGTGATGCTCGGACCCTCAGGGGCTGCAGCATTATGTCTGTAAACACCGTTCATCCACAGATGCTGCGTAAAGCTCTATCAGACAAAGAAGAAACCAGATGTAAACGCCATCCAGGACCAGAGCTCGTTTCAAATGGACTGAGGTGAAGTCCAGAACGGTTCTGTTCAGACTCCACGTCCTCCATAGTAAAGAGGAGACCATCCAGCCCGTTATCGGTTCAAACCTGTCTTCTCTGATGGTATAGGGGTGCATTAGTGCCTCTGGCACGGACAGCTTACACATCTGAAAGGCTCCACCACGGAGACAAACATCTACAGGTTATCGAACATCTGGAACCAGATGTTTCAGAGGAAACCTGGACTTGAAACAACTTCAGACACTTTGCTGCCGTTGAATCTAAAACTGCCTGATATAATTTATTTTTTATTTTTTTTAAGTTTCTTGGATAAACATTTTTGCCCTAACGCTACACCGACCTTTATTTAATGAGCTTCCTGAAGAGGAGGCTGTTGGTCGGATGCAGAGCGAGCGCACGTACGTGCTCGGCGTCTTCAGCCGCAGGTTTCTGTCGTTGCTCTCAAACACCCGACGGGTCGCGAAAGAAAAAAATGGCTTTTGTTGACGATTGTCTGTAAATTAGCAACAGCAACGTGGGATTTTCTTCTTGTTTTATCACGTTTTTCATGTTTTTCAGCCGACTGCAGCAGCTTTGGATTAGTGGGCGGGGCTTGAACAGATGAGGCTACAGTAAGGCGGGGGCGGGGTCACTGTACAAAGTATTCAGTTAGTGTACACAGGATATATTTATGTACACATTATGCACAGACATGTACAGTTTCATAGTAGAGCTTTGTTCTAAACAGAGGCAACTTCATTTGAAGCATTTCAGACACTGAAGTAGAAAACAAACTGAAAAGGCACGTCTGAGCGCGGTGATGGATCAGAACACGAGGAGGTCGGGTCGAGAAAAGTTCCTCTTATCGTGAGAGCAGCCGATTGGGGGGGCTGACCCAGCTTTGGTGGCTGCTTCCAGTGCAAAGTTTGATTACAGATGAGGAGTTTGTCAAACCTGGGGGGGCACAGTGTCAGACAGCAGAGCGAGTTCAAGAGGGGTCGTAAGACATCAGACCAGGAGGACCGAGTCCAGTTCTTCCTCCTGGACCCGGCGCTGCTGGTATCGAGACGTCCCTCTGTCGACCGCTGCGGACTTTACAATAGTCTGATCAGAACCTGACGACTTCGCCCAAACTTTGTGCAAACGGAGTGTTCATGGCTCGACCGGGTTCCCATCTGGGCCAATCGGACTGGAGCCTGGGGTCAGAGGTCACCACTGTTGGATCTTTAAAGGCAACATTTTGTGGCTGAAATACAAAAAAACCTAAACAGTCAAGACAGTTTGCTACTTTACAGTCACAGTGTACAGCTGAGATCCAAAAGGGGAGGGGGGGGGGGG